AGCGCAGCGTGGGCCGCATGGCCGTCCGTGTGCGCCCCACCTCTGCACTCAGGCCCTTGCGCTTGCCAGGGAAGCGCGGATTCTACGAGCCGTCTCCCCGGCCCCTAGAAAATCTTTTTTTGTTATGTGTTATGTCTTGCTGTTCCCCCAAAACCTCATGCAGTCATGGGGTTTTTATTTTGTTTTGTGCAGAACTGGGGATTGGACTCAGACCTTTGCGCTTGCCAGAGAAGTGCTTATTCCACGGAGCCATCCCCAGCCACCAAGCACCTAATTTTTTTAAAAAATGAATTTTTTGAGACAGGGTGGCTTTGAACTCCTGGGCGCCCATGAGGCTTCTGCTTCGGCTGTCTAGCTGAGACTGCAGGTGTGTGTGTCTCAGTTAAGTTTTCTCATTGCTGAGACAAAATACCTGACACCCAAGGTTAAAGGAGCGAAGTTGTTTAGCTCGCAGACTGCAGAGGTTTCAGGGCACAGTCGGCTGGCCCTGAGGCAGGGTGTGCTAGTGGGGAGGAGGACACCAAGGCCACAAGAGGAGGGAGGGGGCCGGGAGACGGCTCAGCGAGTAAGTGCTTCCCTGAGAGGAGGAGAGGAGCCTTTTCCTGCCCCTTTTATCCAGACTGCTGAGATCAATCAGTGGACTGACCAGCAGCCACCCACCCTTAATCCCAACATGAAACTGTAAGTCACAAAGTGCGCTGAGCCACCTGCGGAAAAGCGCCCTCCGTGACCGTGTGAGACCTTGACAGGAGGCCAAATGCAAGCCGTAACAGTGGGTCAGCATACCAGGCTTCACATATTTACACAATATAAAATGATCAAATGAACGAAAGCGGCAGCCAGTGCCTCCTGCTGTGTGCCAGGCGCTGGCATATGCCAGCAACCAGCGAGTAAGCATCTTCTTTTCTTAGAACCAGACCGGGAGCTTCCTGGACACGCCCAAGTTACCAAAGGCCTAGATGCTAAAATCCGTGGGAGGAGAAAACCACATACCTTTGTGGGGCAAGGATGGAGGAGCTGCTTGTGGGGTGGGGCGGCGCGATGGCTGACGCGGAGCAAGGTTTTATAGTTTTCGAGTAAGACTTGCCAACCCACTAATTATGGTGTCTGAAAATCCTAAAGCTGTTCTTAATTTGGAAAACATTTAGAGTAACTTGCAAGTACACAGCATTTTGTTCATGTTCTGTGAGAGGGAATGTGTTGGGCGTCACAATTACATAAAATAATTTTATAGAAAAATACTGCCCGTAATCCCACTCACCTATGGTTTGAGGTCTTTAAAAAGTTCTATTTATGTGTCTATGATTTTTCCATTTTTTAAGCGTTATATACATATGGTTTTTCAGTCTTTTGCTAAACATTTTTCCTGGGCCAAATGGACTTTATTGTTGCTGATATTGGCTGAAGGAGGTGGGATGTCTTGTTAGAATTACAGCACGGGGAACTGGGGAGATAGCTCAGCAGAAGAGGTGCTGACCCGAGTTCAATCCCCAGCACTGGAATATGTATATATATGTGGCACAGGAAGGATCTACGTGCACCTCTCGGGCACCTCTCGGTTCTCTTTCCTAGCCTGCTGTCTGGAGGAAGCAGCTTGGGTCCGAGGGTGTGGCTGTGTCGGGACCCGAAGGGAGGCGTGCCAGCGTGGCCTGCTAAGGCGTGGCTCAGGCCTCTGGCACCCTGGCCGCGGGAGCCTCAGGTCAGCGCTGCACACAGGCACACCCCCGCGCTGGCTGCAGGAGGCAGGCTGCGGCCCGGGACCCCGAGGTCTGCCCGGCTCTAGGAAGCTGGCAGTGGCTATTCTGCAGTGCGTGGCTAAGGCACGGTGCAGGGGCCTTTCCTGCAACACCAGGAGGGCAGCCGCCCTCCTCATCCACCCGAAGTACTCACGTGCATGTAAATTGCTCAGTCTGGCACCGAGGCGCGGCTCCTCTGGGAGAACAGGGTATCGCGATCTTTGCGTGCGATGTGTGTGATGTGTATCCCGCTGATGCGAACGTGTACGTAGGCTGGGCTGAGGCAAAGGACGAAAGAAGGGACAAGACGTTGTATGTACAGGAGAGTTTGGGTAATCATACTGCTGATTTCTGCTGGTCTCCTGAAAGGAGCAGCTTAATGCTTAAAAAGCTTTTTCTCCTTTTTAATTTCTTAGAACTTCTTTAAAACCAGTTTTGTATGTTTGTATCTGGTAATCTAAACACCTGATTTGAAGACAGCATTGTACAATATCACAACCATGGTTGGATACCTATTGTTTTGTTTAGTGAAATTCTGTATTGTTCCTATTTTTTTTTACACTTTTTTATTTATTATTATTTTTTAAAAAAACAACCAAAAATGAAAGAGTGTATGGTAGGGCTGGGAATGTAGCTAGGTTCCCTTCCTAGCACCAGGGAAAAGTTGTAGTATGTGTACCCAACGCACGCTGTCCACACTGAAATGTGTGCAGTTAACTTCGGAGAGCTCAGACTGTGGGAGAGCCTGACATTATCCATGTAGTCGCCCCTCAGTATCTAGGGGGACTGGTGGTTCCAACCCCACGGCCCCCACGGCTGGGGGTGCTCAAGTCCCCTTGGAGGACGGTGTGACGTTTGCCTACACCCTGGGCACTTGCTCCTGTGTCTGTCTGTTGTGCTGGGGAGGGCTTGCTAGGCAGTGATGACTCTCCCCACTCCTGCCCCGTGTAATGTAAACTCTAGTACCTCATACAGTGCACGTGCTGTGGAAATAGTTGTTGTGCTGTACTTACAGGATAATGACAAGAAAAGCCCATCTGTGCATATTTAATACAAATGCGGTTTTCTCAAATACGTGGATGCCTGGTTGATGCATCAAGAGTACGCGATTGCCAGACACAGGGCTAGCTCCTTCCCGCCTTTTTTTTTTTTTTTTTTTTTTTTTTTGGCCGGCTCAGCTGGCCCTGAGGGTGGGGCTGGCATGTCACACAGTGTCAGGGATCAGACCATGTTCCCTGCGCCTGCCTAAGCAGGCACTTTAGACCACTGAGCCATCTCGCCGGCCTCCCTAACCACATTTTTCTTGTTTTTCCATCTAAATCTGGGTCCTATTCTGCACCCAGAATTTTGGAAAATGGTGACACTCTTGCTGCACGCTGCATTCAGCTGCTGGGCACAGCCGCAGAGATCATTCGCGGTGCCTCTCCAGCACAGCTCTCCTTCTGTTTTGTCTTTTTGAGACAGGATTTCTCTACCGGCTGGCCTTGAGCTCACTTTGTAACTCTGGCTGGTATCGAACTTGCAGCGACCTCCACTGCCACATCGCCCAGCCTAACACAGCTGTCCTTTCTCCACAGTGACCGCACGCTAAAACCAACCTCCCGCCCATCCCTTCTCCCTGCCTTAGGCCCTTCTCCCTCTCTTTGCTGCTTTTCCCTGTGGCTTTTCTTTCTGGATGTTGAACAAGGAGACTGTGTTAAGAGAACCAACCTAAATATGGGAAGGCTTTAAACTGGCTCTAGAACGTCCACTTCAGTGCAATTTCAGTTTGGGTGGTTGTGGATCCAGCCAAATCTAACTCCAAGTGTTGTAAAAGCGACATAATAAAAGCAATACCTGCCTTATAAGGTTGTCAGAAAGATTAAATCAGGAAACTTGTATAAAATCCTGGCATGCTGTATGCTGTTGGCCACATAGAAAGTTCTACATAATCAGCAGCCCCCCTCCCATCCCAGTCCTTTGCCTCCTGTGTCAGCACTACTGTGTAGAAAACCTAACCAACCACAGCGTGGGACCAAGACTGAACCAGCCCGACGTGCTGGGTGGGAACATTGGGTTCTGCCTGCCTCGTGGGTACTGTTCTGTGATGTGCTCGCCTCATCTCAGTAACTGCCTAGGGCAGAGCCCTTTGTCACTGACAAAATTTGGAAGTACTTAATCATACAATGTTGCTTTAAAATATGTAAACATAGGTGACTAATTAAGCTAATCAGCATACGCATTACCTCACTTTTGTGTGTGGTGAGAACACTTAGGTGTTAGCCAGCTTTTCCTGGGACCAAACCTGCCACGCACAACTGAAACTAAGTGGAGACACCCACCTGAGAAGCAGCAAGGACCTTCTCTGGGAGTCATGTTGTCTGCTCCATCTGTACAGGAGGGATGACTTTGGAGCGAGGAAAAGACCCAGCTAGTCATGTACTGTAAGACCTTGGGCTGCAGGTTAACTTCTCTGCAAGTATTCCACTAGTGAGCACACTTTTGTAATACAATGTTGCATTTCTAATAAATTTTAACTTATAGATAATATCTGCAATGAGTAGTCTGTGAGGCTGGTCACGACTGACCGTGCACATCACCCGCATGTAGGGGGATTATAGGTGGTCGGCACGGCAAGAGGCTGTGAAGATCTCAGCAGGCGAGGAGCAAAGGACAGAGGACTGTCTTGCTTAGGTGAGGAAAGTCTCGCTTACAGAGGTGTAAGCAGATGTGGCAAAAATGCAAGGTTTTGTAGCAAAGCACCACCTGCACAAGGAAGGCAGTACTGGGAGCAGTGAGTCTGTTGTGACAGTGCAGCGCCACGTTTCTGCACAATCCTCGAGGGCAAAGCCAATGCCATTGGGTAGGTTTCCTATAAAATTACAAATAGTACAGATTCTGCTGAGCTGAGAGCAGAGGTTGTGTTGTGAAAGTCACCCTACTATGTGGTGACCCTCGTCTCTCACATACCAGTCTCAAGAAGTGTAGGTAAATGGCTTATTTTCTTGTATTTTATTATTTTGCAACATCCTACAGTATTGCAGTCATTTTTACATGAGTAGTTTGGGTTGTAGAATGAATCATCTGAGTTTCCTTATGGGCACATCCGCTTTGACATGCAGACACTGGATTGTGCACTCTAGAGTGAACGATCCTTGCAAACCAAGGTCTTGCTCCAGATGTGGCCCGCGCCCTCACCATGCGAGGACCCTGCTCTCCAGGAATGGAAGTAGTCAGGGGTCACCATGGGGTGGGGAGACAGGCAGCCCTGGGTCCTTCCTTACCCGTTGCTCATTCAAAGCATGATTTGTTCTCTCCTGGGACAGCCAGGCTTGAAAGCCACGTTTGCTGTGAACGGGGCTGATGCCCAGAAGGTAACACACAGCAGAACAGAATTTGACTTTCACTTTGTATCCAACATTACTGTTAGTTGGGGTCAAATCTCTTCTCAGTTCTCTATATAAATGTTAGTCATTTAGGGCTGGCCATTTTTTTTTTTACGGCTGAATAGTATTCCAAGACCAGGCATAGTGGTGCACCCCTATAATTTCAGCACAGAGGAGACTGAGGAAAATTGCCGCATTCAAGGCTGGCCTGGACTACACAGTGAGCACTGGTCTCCAAAGTCAGAGCTACAGTACTCCACTGTGTCTAGGTACTGCATTTGCTCTACCCACTCAGTCATGGCAGAAACTTGGGCTGACTTTGTTCCGTGGCTATTCTGAATAGTGCGGCAGCGGAGATGGGAGTGCAGATGACTCTGCGTGCAGCTTTCAGTGTCTCTGGCTAAACCCCCAGGAGCAGGCTCGTTGGAGCAGGTGCTAGTTCTGCTCTTCATGTTTTACTGTTTTCCAAGGCTGTGCTGATTGCATCCCCACCAGCAGTACACAGGGTTTTCTCCCTCCATGTTCTCCACTGCTTATCTTTTGTCCTGTTGATAACAGCCATTCTAACAGTGGACACAGCTCACTGTGGTATTAATTTGCATTTCTGTAGTGATTACTGTTGAGCATTTATTCACATACCTGTTGGGCATTTATGTGTATGAGCAATGTGTATTCAGAGACTCTGCCACTGTTAGGTCATCAGATTTTCATCTGTTAAGCTCATGACATATTTTCCACATTAATCCCTGCTCAGGTACCTGCTTTTCTTCTACTTCAGGGTGTCCCTTCACTATTGATTCCTTTGTTTAGAAACAAAGTTTGATATAATTCTACGTATAAGGTGATAAATAATAGTAAATTTTTTTTTTTTTTTTTTTTGGCAGAACCGGGGATTGAACTCAGGCCCTTGCACTTGCCAGGGAAGCGCTTATTCCACTGAGCCATCTCCCTGGCCCCTAATAATAGTGAATTTTTAAAAACTTTAAAAGGGCCAGCCAGGAAGCTCAGTGGACTAAAGTGCCTGTTTAGGCAGAGCACAGTGGCTGGGGTTCGATCCCTAGCGTGCCGTGCCGGCCCCACCCCTGGGGCGCAAGAGTCTATTGAGACTGGGCCTGGTGACATGCGCCTGTAATTCCAGCACTTGGGAGACTGAAACAGAATCACTATGATCTATGTAGCGAGACCCTGTACCAAATACAGAAAAAAAACCTTAAAAGTTGCTGTTAATCCCTCTCAAAATACTCACGTTTGAACACTTATTGTTGTTGTCAAATGTTTTTCCATCTATGAATGGTAGTGATTTCTGGGCTGTTTATATTGATATTCAAATGTAGAACCAGCCCAGCATATCCGGCAGAAATCCTGCTTAGTTGTGCTATATAACTTTTTTTGTGTGTGTGGAACTGGATATTGAACTCAGGCCTTGTGCTTGTCAGGGAAGCGCTTATTCCACTGAGCCATCTCCCCAGCACCGCCCCCATAACTTTCTATACAGTGTTAAATTCTATTTGCCATTTTGTAAAAAAGGTTTTTATGTTCATAATACAGATTTTTTGTTGTTGTTGTGGCCGGCTCAGCCTGCTCGGGGCAGGGCTGGCACAGCATGTGGTGCTGGGGATTAAACTGTGGTCCCTGCATGCTTGCCTAAGCAAGTGCTTTAGAGCACTGAGCTATCTTGCATTTTATTGCCTCTCAATGTTTTATCTAATTTTGGTGATAACGTGGGCCTCACAGAATAGTAGCAAGTGTTCTCTGCTTCTACCTTGTAGAAGAGACTGCAGAAAATTGGTAACATTTTTTTCTTAAATGTTTTAATTCATCAGCAATTGCATTAGGCCCTTTTTTCCTGGAAGGAAAACAATTTTTAAGATACAGTCCTATTAAGATTATTTCTCCTTGTGGGCGTTTTGGTGGATTTTATTTTCAAAGTTTTGACCCATTGTATCTAAGTCATGGCATCTGTGGGTTCAGAGCTGCGCATGTCCCTCCTTCACGACCTCTCACTGCCCTGGATCAGCAGAAACAGCTGCTCACTTGACAGAGCTGCTCTGTAGCACTGTATGTGTGTTTGTAGATACTGAGAGCTTTCTAGAGGCTGCTGAGGTCTTTGGGCAGTCTTTCCATCCATCTCCACACCCAACTTTCTGTTCTGGCCCTCTGAATTAACCTGGATGCTTACATGTTAAGGAAAAAAGGCTAGGAAGCCCATCCGAAAAGAGAGCAATGAACTACACAAGACCTGTCTGAAGTTTTTCTATTTAGATGCTCTAGAGACTGTCTGGGAAGGAGGATTCTAGCCATTACTGGCTGAGTGTAAACTGTCTTCATATCAGAAGAAATGTGGCTTGCTGGAATAATTTCAAAATCACATCATCCAGTGCACATTAGCATTCTAGAAAAACTAGAGGAAGGGCGCTTTGTGCACAGGAAGCCCAGACAAGTCAGTGGGGTGAACAAAGTAAGAGAATTTGTGGCTTATGCGTTCAGTGAAGATGGAAAGCTGTATAAATGGATTTTTGTAGGGAAAAAAAAAAAAACAAAACTGAGCTGATTCAACCACCATTTCATGCATCGCTCCAGTTACAGAATATGGTCATCAATTCAGCTTTATAATTAACTTTTCCCTTTTAATACTTTGGACTCCAAGCAGAGGAATAGGACTATGCCAAGCCTCCTGGATCAGAACGCTTGCAGCCCTGACTCACACTTGTACTGTCGTGGTTTGCATGCTGGCCATGAAGCTGGCCCTGGCTGACCGCACCTCTTACTCACAGGCTTGACCCCTCCTCTCAGCAGAGGGCACTGCCCCAGGCTTGTGGCCCGAGCCTACTGGGTTTCACAAAGCTTAGACCTTGACCTCCTGCTGCCCCACCATGTTTGATGTTTTAGCCATTGGGTATACATGTGTAGTTACAAAACACAGAAGCTAGAAAAAGAAAATATATTTCTAGGAGCATTACCGTTTTTTTTTTTCACCATGAAATACCACATCAAAGTCCCAATACAAAATTGGTCACACAAACTTACTGCAGTTAATTTATCACAAACTTATCTTTGGACTGAATCTAATGCTTCCAAAAACAGTATCTGTTGGGCTGGTGAGATGGCTCAGTGGTCTAAAGTACCTACTTAGAACAAGCTTAGCAAAGCACAGGGACCGTGGTTCATCCCCCAGCACCACATGCCAGCCAGCCGCCCCCTGGTGGGCTGAGCTGGCCACACACACACACACACACACACACACACACACAAACACAAAAATAGTATTTGCAAATATCAAAAACTGTCATGCAAGAAACTATATGAAGACTCCTACCACTGTGGTTTCAGTTGTATTGAACTAAATCTGTGGAATGCATTGTGAAGTGTAAAAGCAAAGTATCAAGAAAGCTTAGCTTAAAAACTGCCAATTCCAATGATTACTTGTGAGTGGGTCCTCCAACTTCCCTCTTCCCTAGTGCAGGGAATTAAGTGAAGGGCCTGCGAGGCCATCCTCGTGAGTCAGTGCTGCATGCTGAGCTACACCCCGCTCCTTTCACAAACGTGGCAGGGGGCGTGTATATTTTGAGACCATTTTAGCTCCTGCTTTTTAAAAAATACTCCTATTCCTAAGCGAAATAAATTTGACACACGTTTAAATATAACTTATTTCTCTTGTATGAGAAACTGCATGTGTAAATAAGGACCAAAATTATAATAGATATTGAGAAGCAGGGAGAAAATATTCAGATGGGAAGGGAAACAGGAGAAGAAAGAGAAAAGGAAAAACTAGAAGGAAAGAATGAAACATTTTTTTTTTTTTTTGCGGAACCGGGGATTGCACCCAGGCCCTTGCCTGGCAAGCGCTTATTATACTGAGCCTTCTCCCCAGCCCTATGAAACAGATTTTGTAAATAAGGAGGGAAGAATGGTTGGAGGGCGGGAGAGGAATGGGGAAAAAGGAAGAACCAAGATACATCACGTACAGTATGCCAGTGCTGTATACGCATGCGATCATGATGTATATCAGGATACCAAAAGAATTTTAAAAATAAAATATATAACTGTTTCAGCATTACTTGCAGTACCTACTTAGAAATAAGCAGAGCAGAGACTGACGATTGTTAGTCAACACTCATTCCTTCAGTCAACACATCTCTGAGGCACACTGTCTTCGAAGGCCGTGTGTGAGATACTGTGGAAGTTACAAAGGTTAAGATGTGACCTTAATTGATAGAATTTTTAATCTCTTGCATAAAAAATAAAACCACTTAAGACTTATTTTGCTCACCATACTTTGTTGTGTCACTATGGATCAATCTGGCAGCTGTCTAAACACCTCATTTTAATCATGCACCTGAAGATTTAAGTTATTTCTGGGTTTCTGATTTTGTAAATGGCAGCACAAATTCTTTTGTGTATGTACAGGTTTTTATTGGGAGTCCAGAATTTCTAATTTTAGGTTTAACATTAAAATAAGTTTAATATAAAGTTCAACTTTAAAAGGAAATACCAAGCCGTCTGAGGGTCAGAACCATGTCTGGCACCAGGAAGGCGGAGGTCGCTTGGAAGCCCTCTAACACTAGGTACTGCCAGACTTCTAACATTCCTGCTAGTTGAACGGGTGTAAAACGATGTCCCATTGTGGTCTTTATTTGAATCCTAATTTTTCTTACTATGTAACTTATTTGTACTCATTCTTTGAAGAAATGTATCGTAAGGTATGTTTTGGGCCAGGTATGGCGGTGCACACCTGTAACATAGCACTCAGGAAGCAGGGGCAGGAGGGTGGCCACGAGTTCAAGGCCAGCCTGGGCTACCCAGAGAGACCTTGCTTCCACAAACAAATGTTTTGGTGACTAAGATGTTTTCATTTCAATAGACCAATTCATTAGTGCTTTGTATGTTACAAAGTTCTCTATCTTGGTCTAAAAAGTAGTCATTTCTATTTTCCTTGAGAGTTTTAAAGTTTTGTTTTACATTTAAATCTTTAATGTCTTTTCCTATCCTGACACGGAGGTTACTTTTCACATTTTGAAATTGTCCCAGCTCCAATTATTTAAGTCTCTTTCCCAACAGAACATGGCACCAAAGGTCATGCCAACTACGGGTCTTTTTCTGGGTAGTCTACTCCACTGGAAACCTGCCCAGTCCTGCTGAAGAAGCTGGGTTTTGTTTGGAGGTACTGAGCCGTGCCACACAGCCACATTCCCAGCCCATGTTAGTATCTGCCTAACATGAGACTTGGGACCCGCCGCCGGCTAGGAGGACAGGCCTGCACCACCACGCGATGCAGCGTCAGGGGGAATCTGCCACCCGGAGGGCAGGTCTGCAATGCCCCAGCACTTTCCTCATTTTAGAACAAGCTCCATGAAAAATCTCGTCAGGATATTTAGATTGAAATTGCTTTGAATTTATAGGCCTGTCTGAGGAAAAATGGTATCCATGATACTGTCTTCCTATCCATGAAAATGTGCACTTGAGCTACTATTTAGCTCCTAATAACCTTTTAGAATTATTTCTTAGAAAAGTCAATGTATATTGTCAATTTCCAGCATGACTTGTACATTGATATTAATGCTAAATGGTGTCACCTGATTTTCTAGTAAACTGTTACAAAGAAACGCAACTGACTTCTGAAAATGAATGTTACAATTCTAGTAATTTCTCTTTAGATTTGTTTGGGTTTTCTATAAAAACAATCATAGAGCATATACATGAGTGTCCCTTCTCCTTATGGCTTCTTGCTTTTCTGGCTCCGCTGGCCAGGACCTGCAACACGATTGCAAGTATAAACAGTGAAGGGCCTTCCTGTGTTTCTGACCTTGCAGGGAAGCTGTTTCCTCTTCTTGGTGGATGCTTGTTTTGTTTTTTTCGTGTGATTGGCTGGTTTTATAAGCTCTCCATAAATTTCTAGCTCTGACTGAGAAGAATCTGTTAATTATGAATGGTTTCAACTCTTCATTACCTTAATCTACTCAAAGGTCACAATGGCTCTCATTTTCATCAGTCAGTGATTAAATTTGTAGATTTTAATACTAAATATTAAAGTATTGGTAAGTAAGCCATTTCAAACTGAGAAATACATATTTTAAAATACTGCCTTCACTGTGTTATGTAATATTTCATGCTTGATGCCTTCACTGGAAGAGACAGCCTCTTTAATAAAGTGCTGGGAAAACTGGCTTCCTGCATGCTGAAAACTGAAGCTGAATTCTTACCTCTCACCTTACATACCCTAAAATCGAAATGGATCAAAGGTTTAAATATAAATCTGCTGGAAGAGAGAATAGGTACAACATTTGAGGACATGGGTGTAGGCAAAGGCTTCACGAACAAAAACCTGATTACACAAGAAATTTTACAGAGATTCCCTAACTGGAATCACATCAAATTAAAAAGTTTTGCACAGCAAAAGAAACTGCAATCAGTGAAGAAACAGCCCAGGAAATGGGAAAAACCTTTTACCAGCTACTCCTCAAAGGACTAATATTGAGAATATAACTCAAAAAAGTTAGAACACCAAATTCAAAGAACTAATCTAAAAATGAGTACCTGAAACACACTTCTCAAACTAAGTAGAAATGGAAAAAAAAAAAAAAAATTACTGGCCATTCCAGACATACAAATTAAAACAACACTGAGGTTCCATTTCACTCCAGAAAGAATGGTCATCGAGAAATCAATAAAAAGTGCTGTGGAGGCTGAGGGGATAGTGGCGGGGAGACTCTCTCCACTGTGGTGGGACTGTAAAGGGTACAAGCACTATGGAAATCAGTATGGAGATCCCTCAGAAGCTACAATTAGAGGCTCTATTCGACCCAGATATTCCCTTCTAGGTGTCTTCCTAAAGAGCTGGAAGCACAATCCTACAGTGTTACGTGTGTACCAACCCAACTTACAACAGTTACATCTTGGAAATAGCCCATGTGCACACCAACAGATGCATGGATAAGGAAAATGTGGGCCTGGAGAGCGCAGTGGACTAAGCGTCTGCTTAGGCAAGTGCAGGGGCCAGGGCTCAATCCAACACCACATGCCACACCAGTCCCGCCCCTGGGCACACCGAGCCAGCCACCAAGACTGGGCATGATGACTCCCGCCTGTGATCCCAGCGCTGGGGAGGCTGAAAACAGAAGGATCACTATGAGCCTGAGCTGCGTGGTGAGTCCCTGTACTAAATACATCAAACAAAAGAGAAAAAGAAAATGTGATGTTTCTATATACAATAGAGTACTACTCTGCCACAACGAAGGATAAACCTGAGTCACTTGTAGGAAAATGAATGTACCTTGAGACCACAATTGTAAGTGAAATAAGACACAAAAGTTTAAAAATTGTCAGGTGTGGTGGCACCTGCCTGTAATCCCATCCCTCAGGAGACAGGAAGATCGCCATGTGTTTGAGGCCAGCCTTGGCTATATAAGTGAGATTAAGGCCAGCCTGCACTACATGGTGAGACCCTGCCTTAAAAAATCTGTAAAGTAAATACCACATTGTTTCTCTTATGTGAGAAACCCTAAGGGGAAAACTGGAGGATAGCCATCAGGGATAGTACGAGCATATTCAAATAGGAAGAGGAACTGGGGCTGGGGGAGAGGAGGGATTTATTTTTTTATTTTTTATTATTTTATTTATTTATTATTTATTTATTTATTTATTTATTTATTTTGTGTGTGTGGCCAGCTCAGCCCACCAGGGGGCGGGCGGGCTGGCATGTGGTGCTGGGGGATTGAACTGAGGTCCCTGTGCTTTGCTTGGCTTAGCTTGTTCTAAGTAGGTGCTTTAGACCACTGAGCCATCTCACCAGCCCCGAGAGGAGGGATTTAAAAAGAAGGGAAGAGAAAAATGGAAACAGTTGCTGTACGTGGGGAGGGGAAGGGCTGAAGGGAGGGGAAAGGAGTAGGGCAAAAAGAATTAAGATATGTATAGGTACAAAATTCTTGTTTTTAAATTTAATTTTTCTGTTTTTGTTGGTATAGGGTCTTGCTCCTTGGTTAGGACTTGTAGTGATCCTCCTGTCTCAGCCTCACCAGCGCTGGGATTACAGGCGCGTGCCACCACATGCCTGGTTTCAGGGCTGGCACAGCTTGCCTGAGGGTTCTGGGCCCTCACAGCATGTGGTACCGGGGACTGAATTCGGGACTTTGTGCTTGCCAGGCAGGCACTTGGACTACCAAGCTATCTCCTTAGCCCAAGTACAATATTCTCACAATGCAGGTGGGCACTGTTTATGGCAAATATATATTAATACAAGTGTTTCCTAATTCCATGTTTGAAAAGGTTGGCAGCCAAGTAAATCTGGAAATACAGAAAAACCCAGACTTTTTTTTTTTTTTTTAATTTTATTTATTTATTTTGTGTGTGTGTGTGTGTGTGTCCAGCTCAGCCCACCAGGGGGTGGGGCTGGCTGGCATGTGGTGCTGGGGATTGAACTGCGGTCCCTGTGCTTTGCTTAGCTTGTTCTAAATAGGTGCTTTAGACCACTGAGCCATCTCACCAGCCCCAAAACCCAGACTTTTGAGGGTCTTTCTATGCCACAATTTCCCAGCTGTACACTGTTCTTCAAATTATACCCTTTCCATTTCTTTAATCCTGCCAGAAAAGGCAATTTTTATTAGAGATTAGTTCAGTGTCACAGAGTACAGAACAGAGAATCAAATAAGGGCTAGGAAATATGATATCAATGTAACAGAAAGTTGTTCTTGGCTTTAAAAAATGCTGAGGTCTTCGACTCACAGGAATACACAACTGTATCACTATAAAATTAGTCAGAAATAGATGTGAGACAGGCAACAGTAGTACTCTTACAAATTAGAAGATAGAAAACCAGTAATTTAAAAAGGCAAAATTAGGGTTGGAGATGCAGCATGTGGCACAGTGTTTCCCTGTCAGGTGGGAGGCCCTGGCCTCAATCGCCAGCACAGGCAAGAAAGGGACCAGAAAGAATACGAGACAAAGTCACAAGCAAATAACCTGGCTTTCCTTTTTATTTAATCAAAGACTGGTAGATAAACATAAATACGGCACAATTACTTCAGATCATTCTTC